GGCTTCAGTCTTAGGAAACACCCTAGTGTTTATCCTTGATTCCTAAGAAGTTAGATTGTTGTGGAATATTATTTTAAGATGTGTTGCATTTGTTTATGCTGTGGAACATTTGTTTCAGGATGTAAACATGTGCTGCATTCTTTTTATATTGCATCTGTTTAACTCTGTGAAGCTGTGTTGCTTTGCCTGCCTAAAACACCCGATTGGTCTAGTAAAGAGCTGAACAACCAATAGCAAGTCAAGAGAATAGATAGGCTGGGCTGGCAGGCAGGGAGAATAAATAGGAGAAATGTGGGGAAAGAGGGATCCAGGGTGGAGAAAAGGAGGAAAGGGGGACTTTAGGAGCCAGCCGCTCAGCCACGCAGTCACCCAGCTACACAGCTACATGGCAAGTCCACAGAGTAAGAAGTAAAAAAAAAAAAAAAGGAATACAGAAATAGGGAAAGGTAAAAGCTCAGAGGCAAAAGATGGTCTCAATAATTTAAGAAAAACTGTCTAGAAACATGCCAAACTAAAGGTCGGGCATTCGTAAGGAAAAATAAGCCTCCCGGTGATTTATTTGGGAGCTGGGTGGAGAGGCCCTAGAAGAACAAAGAATGAAAACAACCAAACACATTAGATGGTTGATCTGCTGTGGATAAAGTTTTTAATTTGCCTTCTGGGAAAAATTAAATCAGAAGTTAGTCTAACTGTGAAAACACAAGTCAGGCACTATTTGGATTGTATCATGCCAGGCGGTAGTGGTGCACGCCTTTAGTCCCAGCACTCAGGAGGCAGAGGAAGGTGGATCTCTGTGAGTTCGTGACCAGCCTTGTCTACACAGTGAGTTCCAGGACAGCCAGGGCTGTTACACAGAGAAAGCCTGTCTTGAAAAACAACCACAAAACAAGAACAACACCTTCCCCCTCGCCAAAAAAGAGAGACACAAGGAAAAAGCTCCGGTCCCATAAGGGACTGGGGACTTGACTACTTGTGTTTCGTGATGAATCTTGCATGGATCGGTTTCAGTTGCATGTGTCAACACAGAACAAGGGAAGGGGCGTAGCTCAGTTGGTAGAGACTTTGCTTTGTGTGCATGAAACCCTGGGTTTCTTTTTTTTTTTTTTACTTTCAATTTTTTTCACTCATACGATACATCCTGACCACAGCTTCTCCTTCCTCTCCTCCTTCCAGTTCCCCCCTCTCATCTCCCCCAGATTCACTCCCACACCCCCATCTCCTCAAAGAAAAGAGCGGGCCTCCCCAGGACACCAGCTGAACAGGACACAGCAAGATGCAATAAAACCAGGCACAAACCCTAAACCAAGGCTGGGCAGGGCAGCCCAGTAGGAGGAAAAGAGTCCCGAGAGGAGGCAAAAGAGTCAGAGACACCCTCATTCCCACCGTTAGGAGTCCCCCCCAAAACACCAAGCCAACAACCATAGCATATATGCAGAGAACCTAGTGCAGGCTGTCAACTGCTGCTTCAGTGTCTTTGAAGCCCCATGAGCACTGCTTAGTTGACTCCACCTCTGGATCCTACAATTCCTCCTCCCTCTCTTTGGCAGGTTTCCTGAACTCCAAGGGGAGGGTTCCAACGGAGACCTCCAAACTGGGCTCTCTCTCCTCCTGATGTTTGGCTGTGGTCTCGGCATCTGCTCTCATCGTGTGCCGGAGGTGGCCTCTCTGAGACTACTAACGCATCAGTCTGTGAGTATATCAGAGCATCATTAGAATCATTTCATTTCAAAGGTTTGTTTATTTTGGCCAGTCATGTTTGGTTCTATCCTAGGTCTCTGGAAGTCCTGGGATTTTTATTATGAGTACTGCCTCAAGCAGGCATGGCGGTCCTCGTTTGTAATCCCAACACTAAGGAGGCGGATGCAGAAGTTCAAGGCCATCCTTAAAGTATGAGGCCAGCCTGAGATACACAAGACTTTGTCCCAAAAAGAAAAGAAGTACGCTTGTTTCCTTTTGGTCATTTCTACATGTTCGGCATCTTGACATTTAGGATCATATCTTATAACAAAAGCATCATTTTGTGAAACCCAATATTAATTTACTTTAGGTGTCCTTACTCTGAGAATACACAGCACAAGAAGGTCAGGCCTGCCCCAATACTGTTAACATCAATTTATCGCCCATGAGTGGGAGCTTCAGTGACTGAGATACAATTTCAGAAGAATCTTCATTGTACGAAGAGACATTAAACTAAAACTTAGGAATAAAGCCTTAAACACATTCTAGATGGGGTTCTGGGATGTGAATTGCATGGAATTACGCCAGTGGCTTGATACTGATAGAACTTATCTCAAGAAATACTAAACTGACAAATTTTAATGTCTTAAAAATCCTTAGTGGGGTTTATTTTATAGTAAGAGACTTCTGAGCAAGAAGAATGCTATATAAACCACGTGGAAACTAGAGTAGTGTTCACAATAACATGTACACAGCAGTGCATGACGCTGTCCATGTACACAGCAGTGCATGATGGTGTCCATGTACACAGCAGTGCATGATGGTGTCCATGTACACAGCAGTGCATGATGGTGTCCATGTACACAGCAGTGCATGATGGTGTCCATGTACACAGCCATGCATGACGGTGTCCATGTACACAGCAGTGCATTCCAGTGTCCATGTACACAGCAGTGCATGATGTTGTCCATGTACACAGCAGTACATGACGCTGTCCATGTACACAGTAGTGCATGATGGTGTCCATGTACACAGCCGTGCATGATGGTGTCCATGTACACAGCAGTGCATGATGGTGTCCATGTACACAGTAGTGCATGATGGTGTCCATGTACACAGCCATGCATGACGGTGTCCATGTACACAGCAGTGCATTCCAGTGTCCATGTACACAGCAGTGCATGATGTTGTCCATGTACACAGCAGTGCATGCTGGTGTCCATGTGCACAGTAGTGCATGACGGTGTCCATGTACACAGCAGTACATGACGCTGTCCATGTACACAGCAGTGCATGATGGTGTCCATGTACACAGCCGTGCATGATGGTGTCCATGTACACAGCAGTGCATGATGGTGTCCATGTACACAGTAGTGCATGATGGTGTCCATGTACACAGCCATGCATGACGGTGTCCATGTACACAGCAGTGCATTCCAGTGTCCATGTACACAGCAGTGCATGATGTTGTCCATGTACACAGCAGTACATGACGCTGTCCATGTACACAGCAGTGCATGATGGTGTCCATGTACACAGCAGTGCATGATGGTGTCCATGTACACAGCAGTGCATGATGGTGTCCATGTACACAGCAGTGCATGATGGTGTCCATGTACACAGCCATGCATGACGGTGTCCATGTACACAGTAGTGCATGATGGTGTCCATGTACACAGCCGTGCATGACGGTGTCCATGTACACAGCAGTGCAGGACAGTGTCCATGTACACAGCAGTGCATGACGGTGTCCATGTACACAGCAGTGCAGGACAGTGTCCATGTACACAGCAGTGCATGACGCTATCCATGTACACAGCCATGCAGGACAGTGTATGATGGTGTCTGGAAGAAGGGTTAAGTTTGCTTCCAGGGCATTTGCTTTAGCTGGGGGCTAGGCCAAATGTCTCAGCAGGCTTTACGTTTATTCCAACAGGTCACTTCTGTTGCTTAAAAACTAACTTCACACATAAAATGTAATTCAGAATGCAGGCGTTGAAAGGGACAAGGCTCACCTAGCCACTGATGCCACTTTCAAAGCAGTCCGTTACCAGCCTCGGCCACCACCAACTTTCCTAGGAGCTGGTGAAATCTGTCCAAATATGGTGAACATTCCCCTATTGCCAAAATGGGAAAAACAGCCTTATCTCCTCATCAAAAGCCATCCGCCAGGAAATCAGCTTCCCTGTTTAGTACCCAAATAGACAAAAAGCAACTTTCGTGTGCAGCTCCTGGGAGGCTTGTCCCAGTGCCAGCTTGTGGGGCTCCAGTAAGCATGAAATCAAAGCTCTTGGTAATGTCGAAATCTTTCTAGAAACACTCTAGGCAGAACTTGTCCAGTTAGGGGAAAGGTGATTCTATTCTCACATCGGCGACTAAACTCTTCCTCTCCTGTATATGTACACCAGAAAGTCTGTGCACACGTGTGCTGTGTTCGCACGTGTGCGTGTGCACATGCATGTACTTTACAAATACTCACAGGTGTCTCCCAGGCGACTTAGTCTGGGGCTACAGGTGGCCCCTCAAGGCTGTCCTGCCTAAGTCTGGAACACATCCCACATCTGCCTGGAGAAGAACTCAGGTTTAGCCTGCTCTGGGATACCCAACCCTACCGTAGGCACAGTCTCAGAACCACTGCAGCAGCTCCGGGAACGTCAGCAAAGACCCATGGGTGGCCTCTCTGCCCTCACAAAAACCTGCAGCACCTGGGCTCCCCTCTTGCCTCTAAATCTCGGGGATCCCTGGGGGCGTCTGTCTGTACCTGAGGGAGAGAGAAAGGCAGGGACGAGTTCCCAGCAGCTGGCTCCAACCCACGGAGTGCGTCCCTTCCCGGGGGCTAGGTAACCAGACCCAGACTAGCGTGGGCGAAGCCGGGGGGAAAATCCCTGTCTTCTCACTTCGCGCGGTCCCTTCTTACTCACAGGGTCCGGGAGCCTCAGCCCACGAGCAGCCGCCACCGTTCCCCAGGCACTTTCGGCCCAAGCTGGGCACAGCGGCCGGGCCACCCCCAGCCCAGCACAGTGGCGCTCTGGGTTCCTAGCCCTGGAGGCTGGCTCCAAGGGCTCGCCCCCCCACCGCCACCCGCCCGCTCCCCGGCCCCAGCCCTCCCTCCTCCTCCCCCTCTCCGTCCCGCCCGCCCCGTCGCAGCCCGAGGCCACCCTGGGTCCCGGCAAGCGCTAGCTCCCGGCAGACCGCCCCCCTCCCCTCTCCCTACCCCGGGGCGGTGCGCGCGAGCGGCGGTGACGTCAAGGGGCGCGCGGTGGCAGCACCTCCCCGCGCGCTGGTTAAAAAGAAGAAGAAAAGAGGGAGCGAAACATGAGAGGCTGCGTGCGGAGCGGCAGCCGCCGGCAGAGGAGACCTCAGCATCCTCGGGAGCCCAGCGCCGGCCCTGCCTCCACGGGGCCCGCCGCAGCCGCCGCCCTTTCGGTTCGCGCTACCGTCTCACCTCAAGGACTCCCGGGGAGCGGACGACGAGCCACCGCGGAGTTCCACGACTGTCGTCTCCCGTCCGTCCTCCCTCCCTCCTTCCTCCTCCTCTTCCAACTCCTTCTCCTCCCACTTCCCAGCCGCCGCGGAAAGCCCCTAACCCAACTTGACTGACGCTGGCTGGCGGGGCAGCCGCGCACCGTGTCACCCGCACTTCATCTCTCCGCCCTGCCCCGCTGCCCCGAAGGCAGAGCTGCAGCAGCGCGGCGCAGCGCTGCTCCGCGTCTTCTTTCTCCCCGCGCCACCTCCGCCTGCCTCGGGAGCGTCCCGCCGGCCGCCGGCCCGCCGCACTCTCCTGGAGCTGCGCCCTAGTGCCCCTGCTGGGCAGTGGCCTCCCCCCCCCCCCAGGTCCACCCCGTCCACCCCCCATCCTCCCGCGCCCTGCCACTGCTGCTCTGGGTAGACGATGCTGAAGATGCTCTCGTTTAAGCTGCTGCTGCTAGCCGTGGCTCTGGGCTTCTTCGAGGGAGATGCCAAGTTTGGGGAAAGGAGCGAAGGGAGCGGAGCGAGGAGGAGAAGGTGCCTGAACGGGAACCCCCCCTAAGCGCCTGAAAAGGAGAGACAGGCGGGTGATGTCCCAGCTGGAGCTGCTGAGTGGAGGAGAGATCCTGTGTGGTGGCTTCTACCCCCGAGTGTCCTGCTGCCTGCAGAGTGACAGCCCTGGGTTGGGGCGTCTGGAGAACAAGGTAGGCACTCGCAGATGTGCCTTGCTAGATGCTGGTGGTAGCCGCCAGAGAGGGCAAGCTCATCCTGATAGTTGCTATAACTTTCCTGAGTTCGGGTAGGTGTTTGGGGGGGGGTCTGCGTGTTCCTGAGCAGTGTGCGGATAGCTCTCCTTCCCTGGAGTCCCTTGTGGGGATGCTGGTTTAAACTTGCCTATCTCTAGAGAGATGTATCTTGTGGTACCCGAGTCCTGAGCCGGGTAAATGTTTTAAGAGAATGGAGATTAACAGTATATTTTGGACCATATCTAGCACTTGGTGAGGTGGAACTGTAAATTAGGGTGGCTGTGGTTTCCGGTTTATTTTTCTGGGGTAGAAAAGATTTGTTCCGTTTTCTCCACGTGCTCTAACTGGTGAGCGGATTGGATTCTAAAGGCTATCTAGGTACTGTTGGTTAATGATCCCAAGCCCAGGCTGAAGGGTCTATCTTGCATGCCAATGGTTAAACCAGCAGAAGGGAACTCCTGGTACCATACATAAGAACTTGAGAGAGTTTGCTGGAGCCTCCTATTCAGTGGTTTCTCGGTCTTGTTGTAACGTTACAAAAATGCAGGTTTTCGCTGGTGCAGTGTTGTCTAGGAGGACCTCGTCTAGAAACTCATTTTTATGAGCTATGCCATATGCACTTCTCATGCCTTGATTAGTTTAGCCAAAAAGTGTTTGTTCCGTGCAAGCCATCGTTGGTCTTGATTCTGCATGAGATTTCTTACAGGGGATGCAGTGCCGTGTGCCGTCTGCGGGATCCTGTCATTACAATCACTTCACAGAGCACAGGCAATCAGGTGTCCCTGCTCCCCCTGTCTTTGGCCATTTTAGGTTTAATTAAGAATTCCCGTGTTACAACCCTGCAGTTGTCAAGGTCGTAGAGACTCGGAAAACTTGGTGCTTCACTCTTGCTGGCCCAGGCATTAAAAAAAAAATGCCCAGGCTGAATCTAATTTTTATGCTCAGTTCACGGTAGATTTCACCCTATTATCATGTAAACAGCTCCTGCGAATCAACATATGTGTCTGGGTGGTACCTCTCACTTTGTTTTGTAACAAAAAGCCATATTGCATCATTTAATTTGCTCAAGTCATGCAAATAGGAAAAAAATCAATAGGACAAAAAGGGGTCGACGTATCCTCCTCCCCACTAAACTGCTGCCCACACACAGCGTCCTGTTGCTTATGGCCAAAGAATAACAACACCACCATTGTATTTGTTAGTTGGTTCACTAATGGGTGAAACTGGAGAACATCATTCTCTCTCAGTCCCCAGCTCTGTCCAAATGTCCATGCCTTTTGAGGGAGCGTTTGTCCAACTCCTTCTATTCCCTGATGAGTGAGGGCTGTCTTGCGGCGGGTTTCAGCTGCAGCTCTCTCTTTATTCTTACCATATGCAGCAGTAGTCTGAGATGCGGGGAACAGATATTCTGGCGTTTTTATTCACAACAATGTCATTAAGCCCCGGCCTCCTAATTGAATGAAGCTACAGAAACAGCTCAGTCAGAGCATCTCAAAGGCTTCACTAGGAGTCCCCACCCTCAAGGGGAAACTCAGAGGAAGGTGTAGAAATATTTACTCACCATGAAGTGTCCCTGTGTGTAGTGTGTGCTGTGACTACACCGAGGATGCAGAGACCCCTGCAGTCCTGACCTCTTCCAGAAACATGCGGAATGCAAACTTTGCTCTCCACTAACTGTAGTGGGGAGACTGGCCAGGGGGCAGACTCAGGGAGTTTATAATCCTTAAGAGAAGCTACATGAAGAAAAAGAACTTAAAGAAAACAAGTACTTAGGAAAGGTCTGCCCTGTTAGTAAAGCATGTTCCTGTCTAAGCAGTTTCCAGTCTCCAACAAATTCCGATTCCTTTGGAAAATGTGTGTGAATCAAGTTGGGTTCGGTAGTTCTATTGCAAGTGGTTTACAAACAAACAGTACCCAAAGTGTGCAAAGGGACAGACACGTCACAGCCATGCCCATGAGCTCTTCACCTATGATCTCAAATTTTAATAGTTTGAAAAACAGGTTATTTTTATAATAAGCATAAGTGTTTCCCTTTTCCCCATAAGTCTTCCTAGGGTATAATATATGTTAGGGTTTTATTTCATAAATGTGTGTGCAAGAGAGACATTGGCAATTCAAAAGCGCCATTTGTTGTTGGTTTTTTTTTTTTTAAAAAGCACTCAGAAAAGATTTTTGCATTTTCTGCAACTTTTCCAGAAAGGTACTCCAGTAGCTTTTCATAGGGAAGAAATTTCAAAGACAAATAATAGTAAGGAAAGCCAGAGGCTGAGCGTGTGCAGCTAAGCAGTCCAATCCAGTTGCTAGGTTAACGAACCTTCTTTAGTAAGTGAAAATTTGGTTCAGTTCCTTAGACTCCATACTATGTTCTTATGTCTGAGTTTCTTATAGGTTTTCATAATGAGGTTTTTTAAACTACGATGAACCATAAGTGATGCCAAAATTTAGTAGGTTATGTTGTCTTAGAAAAATTGCCGTAGATCCTAAATGTACCATGCTAAAAAGATCTAATTCTCCTTAGCCAAAGTGAACTGAATCTACAACCCACTGAAATACACCATCTCTAAAGCTGAAGGCACAGCCTCTCTCTCTCTCTCTCTCTCTCTCTCTCTCTCTCTCTCTCTCTCTCTCTCTCTCTCTCTCTCTCTCTCTCTCTCTCTCTCTCTGCCTTGGTGGTTTCACAGCCAAAGCTGTCAAGGAATGGGTGAAAAGTAATTGTTTTCAAGTGTGTCCTTTCACAATCATTTGCTTACTCTGGCTCTTGCAGGGACAAAGGCTATTGTTGAACACATCCAACTAAACAAATAACTCATCCTGGGGTCCCTTTAACAGCTGCCTCAGTACAATGATCTATTTACATATTAGCCTAAAATTGAAACTGAACTCTTTAATGACATAATCCAGCACTATAGTCCAGAGCGCGTGTGTTCTGCCCTACAGCAGAACAGTCTTGTAGGCATATGATTTTTTTTAGAAATAGCTTTTCTGTGGACCAAGTGATCTTAAGGCTGCATCTTAATATATTGTCATGCATTTTCTACTTTTAGTCCTTCATGGAACCCATGTGCGTGCCTCTTTAACCTCTTTATTTAGTTATGTGATACATAAAGAGAAATAGAGGGGGTCTCTGCCCCCTATTTCTCTGTTGATAAGCTGTGGCTATGGGCTTTCTCCTATAATCCAGCACTTACCTTTCTTCCGGAGATTTCACTTTCACACGGCTGAAGATTAAAGGACAAGCTACCAAATGTTACAGACTAGTCAGCCACAGCTTCAGTCCTTTCTAGGCTGGCTGTGATCATGTTTACAAGTTTTTTTTACACAACTTCCAAAGTATATTTGACTAAACCACTATAACTTGATGACTTTGTATTTGGCTTTAAAAATTGAAACAGGAAATTAACTTAAATTTCTTCTTAATATCCATGGCAATATGAGGCATTCATTAAATTAAGAACCTGTGTACCTGACACAGACATGATAGAAGGGAGAAAGAAAGAAAAGACGGAGGTACCCCCCTCCCCAAACACACGCTCACACTGCATACACCAGTACTCATCTGCCTAAACCAATGTTGTTGCTTGGACTCAGTCAGTTTAATTGACTTCAGTAAGACTATTGGTTCATTGAAACCAAAGCCAGAATGATGGCTCTATCTATCTTCAAATAGGTGTTTATATTGTAGACCTCACACAGAGTAAAATGTTCCCATCCTGCTGGGCCGGAACAGCGTCAAAGCTTAACAAGAATAATATTATACTTGATTTCAGATAATTTATTGAATCTTATTTGTGAAACTTTTGATGAGGGATCTTGTGGGCAAGGCACATTCCAAAAATTGTAAAAGACAGAATTCTTTAGGCACTAAAAGCAAGCTCTTCTTGAAGAGCAGCTGGTAGAGAACATGGGATCATTCTGTGTCAAGTATTTGAAAACATAGAAGCACAAATAGTCTCCATAAAAGTAAAGGTAATTGCAGCCCAGTTTTCAGGCAGCAGAAGAGTTGGCTTCAGGTCCCTGCAGTTGTTTAGTTCCTGGAGGATTGCTATATGTGAAATACAGAACCAAGCTGACCGCTATTCATATTGAATAGATCTGGTGAGGTCTCCAGGCTGGACAATAAAAGACATTGAACACATTCTTGGAATGCAAATCCTTAGTGTCTGGTGTGTGTTTTCTTTTACAAAACTTGGACCATTTATGCAGTTGTCACTTAAACAAACTGATAAAAATTAAAATGTAAATGCAAGTATGATTAATAACTTTTGAATACTCTAAGTAGTTATAATATACAAATCCTTCTTTCTGGACTAGAGCAGCCTCTTTAGACTCCATGTTTTTAAGTTACCCTGGCCTCTAGATTTTTATGACCCTGTGATATCATAATCCAATGCTGTCCTTTAGATCTAGGGTTTTATGACTCTGTGAATCATAATCCAGAAAAACAAAGGCTATACTATTTATTCAAATTAGCTCAACTTGTAAAAGAACTAAACACTTTTCTAAAGTTTCAAACTTTTAATTTTAATACATTATTCCAGAAAAATACTTAAGTAGACACCTAGATGAAAGCAGTATAAAATTTATACATGTTGTATGTGGGAGGGGGAATCAGGGATTGATTTAGATATCATTAATTTTATCTCCCAGATATTAGGCTGACATTGCCCTCTATACGTATTGAAAGGGTTCCACAAGTCAGGTTTCTGAGTGAATACTGATGCTAAGATCCATTCTACCTACAAGTTAATAACTTCAAGGAACCATCAAGTCCTCCAGGATTAATCTTACTGAAACAAAGGACATATCATTGTAAGAATTATAATAAAAGTATTCTTTTTCATTAAAATTCACTACCCACTATACAAAAGCACTTTCATTAAACTCTGTGTTTATTCATGCATATAAAATACCCAAGGAACTAGCTAGAAAGTTTTTCCTGGCTAAGATATAATGAATATTAAAAATGGGTCTTAAGCCCATTTGGTTCAGTTTTGGGTATTTTTATAGACATGAAAGGCAGTGTAGAAACTTGCATGGTGACATTTGCACATTGGGAACAAGTAGAAATTTACCAAAATGCTGTTTAAGTACAGTTTTGAAACCATGTTAGGGGCTCTAGGAATTAAATGTTTTTGTTTTTTTTTAACCCATGACACAAATAAGCCATGTCTTTAAGTTACACTGTGGACACAGTTGGCTAAAAGTGTAGAATTTTTAAGGAGAAGATATATGCTCTGGGGCAGAGTAAGTGAATCTATAAACGTCTTATTTTAACAGCAGCAGGACAGATTCACACACGTGGATTTGCAAAGGCAAGAAGTACTTCCGTGTGTTCCCCTCTGACCTTTGCCTTCCCGCCCTGGCCTCAAAGATGACATGCATTCTTCTGAAAGACTCTATGTTGTTGGATAGTCATTCCCCCTCCCCCCCCCGTTAGACTTTTCTGCTCTCATGATTGAGAAGGGGGAAAGGAAACCTGACCGGGCTCACTTTTCTCGTGACTAACAAGGTGTGTTTCACACCTGTGGCTTTCAGATCTTCTCTTCCACCAACAACACAGAATGTGACAGACTGCTGGAAGAGATCAAGTGCGCACCTTGCTCGCCACACTCACAGAGCCTGTTCTGCTCACCTGAGAGAGAGGTCCTGGATGGAGATCTAGTCCTTCCGCTGCTCTGCAAGGACTACTGCAAAGAGTTCTTTTACACCTGTCGGGGCCACATTCCAGGTAAAGGGGGAAATTCCCCGGGTTAAAACGTTGCCAGCGTCTCTATAAGACAGCTATTCTCGGAGGCTTGGGTATAGGAGTTGTGAGTTGTGTTCCGTCTTCACACTTCACTTCATGGTCAACTTTCCCCAAGGCTTATTTATGCTTTACTGCTGTGGAAGAGAGAGCTACAGTCTCAGCTGACAAACAGTACACTGACTTTATTCCAATGGCTTATGCTTCTTGTTAAGATGCTAATGTAAATTGGAAACCCTTTGCACCTTGGATTATCAGTATAACTTTATACATGCTGGGTTATTATCACTGAGACCTCCTTTTCTTTTCCTCCCTCTGAATTATACCCCAGCACCGTAGACGTTTCTTGTTGGAACCTTTTATTTTTACCTACCAGCCTCAATATCAAGGCCACTGCTCCTAATACATAGCAGGTATGGGATAAAAAGGTGCCCCCACGGTTTTTAAGATAGTTCTTTAGATAATGGGTGACTAAGAATTCCCAAAAGTAACATCTAACCAAGCATTTTCACATGAAATGACTAATTGTCACCTTAGAAACACCTTGAAATGGGTAGAGCAGTGAAGTCCTGTCCTCTGGACAGAGGAGTAAAACTGAGTCTCAGGAGAACTCTGCTGCTCTAACCAAACCTGTGCCACATAAAGAGAAGATGGCGGAATGGCTGCAGAAGCTCTTCTGCATGAGGTGTCACAGAGACACCTGGTCACCATCACATTCCAGACCCTAATAAACATATAGATCCCATCAAGGCCATCAAAAGCTTATAACCTGGGGAGGGGTAACTCAGTCGGTACCTGCCGCATAAGCATAAAAATATGAAAAAAAAAGATGGGTGCAGTCGTGAACACGTTTGACCTAGGGCAGGGATCACAGAAGCAGGCATATCCCAGGAGCTTGCTTCAGAATCTCTGTCTACATGGTTTGGTCAAGTGGGGAGTGACGGAGGAACATACCCAGGGTTAACCTCTGGCTGTTACATGTATGCATGCACCCACACACACACACACACACACACACACACACACACACAAGACAGACACATTTATAAATTGTGTAGCCATCATTTTAGTTAGAAAAATAAGCATGGAGGAAGCACATAATTTAACAAGACTGACTATTTTAATTAGTCTAAGTTCACACACCAATCACTGCAGTGAACCCTTTATAACGTTAAATGGTATTTAAGAAAGAGGTGAGTCCTAAGTGCAGTAGGATGTGACTCTGAGAAGTCTTTGAAAGTGCTATACACATCTTAGAAGTTTTTGACCTGCAGAAACGTAGCTGAGATTTTTTAATAGAGCTTTCTTACGAATAATAAACACTCTATGTTTTCCTGCTCTCTTTGCGTATAGCATGACACGTACCTAAACCATTCGGATGTGAAAATATTATTGTTTTTATAAACTGTAGCCATGTTTCTGACTTTTCCTAAACTAGTCGTGTTTTTCCCTTTATCACGTTCTTTAATGCAGAGTGGAACAGCTCCCAGTATCCTCAGTGGCCCACAGGGACTGACAGCAGATTGGAAAGCATGGGGGGGGGGTAGCTGCAGACCTCTGCCTTTACAGCCCTTAGCTGATGGAGCAGGGGGCAGCTGCAGACCTCTGCCTTTACAGCCCTTAGCTGAAAGTGATCCCGGCACTTGGCGCCCTCACTTACTGTATCCCTTTCACAGCAAACGCAGCACGCTAGGTTCACAGACTCCTCCACGGTGGTCTTTATGTATTAAAAGTCATTTTAGCATCCAAAGTAGCAAACAAGCCTACAGGACCAACTGAAGGAGCCCAGCAGACAGCTCAGAGCCCAAACTGCAAATGCGTCACTTCCCAGATCAGCATATGTGGTGACGAATGACAAATTTATTTTTCTACAAAGTTTGTGTATATGTAAAACTGCTGAAGTGCATCAAGATGTCAAGTGCTCTTCGTGGCCACCCAGGCTGCCGTGAAAGATAGCCACACGAAAGCTCCACTCCCGAGGGGGAAGGGGCAGTCACAGTGCTGCCTGAAGACCCAGGGAGACCCAGCAGCAAACTCAGGGGACGGCCCTTCCTAGGTCACGTGCTGATAATCATTCTAAATGCTTGTGTCCGAAGTGAGCTGTAATAACACACTCTTTGGCATTTATGTTCATTGATTTATTAGCCAGCCAGAGCCCTGGAAGGTAGGCCACTTTCCCCTAACACACGGTGAACAAATCAGGAGGCTGCCCGTCAGCCTCGCCTCCAGCCCACAAGTGTGTCGAGACTGCCGGGGCACTGGGGCCTTAGAAATGACTGCAAGAACAACCCTGCAACCATTTCACCTCAAGTTCGTTTTATGCTTTACTCTTCGCAGAAATGCAAACCTATGGGAAAGAGAGACTTTGAGATTCCAGGTCATAGGAAACTTGGTCAAGGTATTCCAGCTGCTCCTACTAGTAGGAGCTCTATAGACCAAAACCCTGGAGATGAAGAGAGCCCAAGGAATGTATTTTGTAAAAAAGAAGGGAAATTCTGAATGGGATCATAAGAAAGCAATTTCAGAAAAATTTTTTTCTTGTGCTATACTGCTCACGACATGAAAAAAGTTGTCTTGGCTTTAAGAAAGCATGACCTTTAGAACATTCTTGGAAACTGAAAGATAGCTCATTTCTAGACATTTAAATTCAGAAACAACCAGGCTCTTCTTATTAGAAAAGAGATTCAACAGCAGTAAAATTGACTCTACTCCAGACTTGTGGGCTCTCTGGGGAAGATACTCTCCTAACGTTTCTCCAGTGCCCCAGTTGCTCACCCTCGGGGGTCTTTTCCTTTGGTCTGAATGAACAGAGTGTACACTTTGTGTTCATTAATCTGGTATGATACACTCTAAGAAAGACACATAGAGACACCTGTTGTCATTGCCTTATACTTTGTCCCTATGATCGTAATGATTTTTATCACTTCTAGACAGTCACGTCCCAGTAGTAGGTTTCAGTCGTGTGAAAGGTCTGCACCCAATTAGTTCAATTGGTTTAATCCCGTGGCTAATGAGGCCAAGGTCAAGGGTTTGAGTCTGTTGGGTTTCTCCAGCCCTGACTCCATCAGATACCTAACACATGTGTCTTATTAGCCCCAGGGAGAACAAGCTAGAGGGACTGGATGGATACAGGGACTCAAGGGTTCTTCAGAATCATGATGGATGAAAGGTGGAATACGGCTTCCCTGGGATACGCAGTGAGAGATGAGGCTGGAACATACAGTAACTCTGTATGTTTTTATAGTGTGCTGCGTGGGACAGTAGGGCTGGATTCACCATGGTGGAAAATGGCTAAGACCTGAATATTTGATAAATAACAAATACAGCAAGAATACTCTGCATTTGTAGACCTGACCATAGTGTGGTGATCCAGACTGGGTTAAATACACACCTTCGGTAAAAGGCTCTCAAGTGAATTTTTAGAAGCAAAATGTGTGTGATTGGATACACAAAGTTTATGAAGATACATCCTAGCTTGAAGTGAAGATATTCTTTTTGAAAATGAGTTCTCATTTCCTATGATTTGTCCCCAGCTTACAATGCTCTTAGAAGTGAAACAAGTGGTAGTTCCATTCATTAATTCCCTTTGAGATGGTCCTGGTTTGCAGATACACCAATTGCTTTTAAAGCAAACTCGAGTTTTCCTTTTCCTATTTTTGCTCAAATAGACTTGCTTTTAGCACTTTTAGTTTTTACATGGGTGCTTAGCCATTAAAAAATGGGGAGAGAAAGGTTATCTTTTTCCCAAAGAGGTATTCCTTTCTGTGTTCAATGCTGGCAGATTTTCAAAGGAAGAAAATTTCCCATTGGCACTCCTAAGGAGGATTCTCTGACTGTCCTGCCTCCTATCCCATACCCTACACTCCTGTGTGCACACACCCCTCAGGGCACAAACCATACCCTTCATCCGTATGTGCACACCCCCAGAGGGTACACACAGTACCCTATACTCCTGTGTGCACAGCTCCCTGAGGGCACACACAGTACCCTATACCCCTGTGTGCACACCCCCAGAGGGCACACACAGTACCCTGCTTCTCTGTGTATACACACTCCTGAGGGCACACACTTTCCCCCATCTTCTTTGCCGACTTATGCTATTTCCCAACATCCTTGACAGAAACTGCTCCTGAAGAGTCTCTGTTGGCAATTCAAGAGTAATACATTCCACCCAAAAGTGAGGTTAAAATGTATCCCGAGCTTTATCTTGTGGGACTCTTGCACTCAGTGGCTGGTTTGCTTTGAGGTTTAGGCTGACCTGGGTCAAGCTCTCTGCAAAGGAACTTTGAGTGTCTTGTAAACTCCATCAATAAGCCTCACTTGGCTGAGCTCCAAATCTTGTTCTTAGAAACTCTTGCAAAACCTGAATTTGTTACATAATTTTCAAACTGTGACTAAGTTACCTGATACTGTTATCCCAAGACTAGTAAGTAGAATGAAAAATCCAATTTGTTATATAAAAACCAGAACTTCACTAAGGTGAAGATAGGAGGTGAGAGACACCCTTTCCTCCAGGTAAGCAAACACTCTCACCTGAGCTGACTGATCAAAACAGATCAAGGGCAGTTTGTGCGGCTTGTTTCTTGTTTGTTTGTGAAGTTCAAGCCTGGTCTTTGAGTTGCTGGACAAGTACTCCAGCAGCTATCCTTTGCCCAGACCCTGATAAAGTCTTCCAAACACAGAAGCAATATTATTGACAAGCACAATAAAGCCAGGATCGTATTATCTCAAACTACAGATTTCAATTTTTTTCTATATTTTCCCTCCAGTCTAAAGCTTTTAATTTTGGATTCAAGGAGAACTGTACTTTCAAAAACTCTTTGTGGCCTCAGGGAACGGCTCAATCAGTGAAGTGCTTGTGTTAGGACCTGAGTTCAATCCCTGGAACCCATGAAAAAGCTGGGCACAGAGGAGTGGGCCAGTGACCCCCGTGATGGGGAGACCAAAACAGGAGGTTCCTTGGGGCTCACTGGCCAGCCAGTATCGTGGAATCAGTGGACAGCACACTCAGTGAGAGACCTTGCCTCAAAAACTAAGGAGGAGGAAAATACCAGATGCTGGCTTCTGAGCTCTACACTTACATCTGTGTTCTCACAGACAGGCACATACATATTCACACACACACATATATACATATATGCACATACACCAACAATTTTAACATGAAAGAGAAGTTATCTTTATTTTATCCCCTGTTCAGTAGATCCACCTCTTAATTTTGTTTTGGTTCAGGGGTGTCAGTTTTTCTTCTTAAGAAGATAGATGATCATTTAAATATATTTTATCACTATCCTTAGAGAAAAAAGTGCAGGGAAAAAGGATTCAAAGTATTTGAAATAAGGGGCTTCCTCTCAGCATCAATGGCTTGCTTAGAGATAACATAGTGAGTCATTCACTTTATATGGAGATGTTTGCTATCTCCACTAATGCATTCCATTAAGACAACTGGCAAACAATAGACTATCGCTTTTCTCGTTGCCATGTGTTCTTTTTAGGAAAGTATTTAGTACTGTAGGAAAATTAGACTAATTAGTGATGAGGTAAGCTCGTAAATATAACCCGTGATCAGTGAGGCGTCTTGAGAAGAGTCAACACAGTGAGATTAACCCTGGCTTTTGTAACGAGCATTTCATATAGCCTTTCAAGTAGTCAGCACAGAGGCTGCAGAAAGGGGCTCGCTGGTAAAGATCCCCACTGCTCTTTCAGAGCATCGAGGTTCAGTTCCCAGCACCCACGCTGGCAACTCACGACTGTCTGCAATTCCAGTTCCAGGGGATCTGATCGCCTCCGACACCTGCACACACATGATGCGTGTAAACTCATGAAGGAACACACACACATCATACAGAAGAAGTAAATCTTTCTAAGTTGCTCAGCATAAGGAGACTGCACTTTTACCGGAGTTCTTAAATGTGTTTAAAGACGAAAAGGGAGTCCCAGCCCCCCCTCCCCTTTTCCTTTTATGTTGCTGTAGTCTGGTTTCCCCTGTGAATATTCATAGGCCTTCTGAAAGTCTTCTTTGGCCAGGTGCCCAAATGAGCTGGTTTTGCTAGAACACTTGGTGGTTCTAACAAGTCTTTCTCCGTGTCTGTTTAAAGGTCTTCTTCAAACGACTGCCGATGAGTTTTGTTTTTACTACACGAGAAAAGATGGCGGGGCCTGCTTTCCAGATTTCCCAAGAAAGCAAGTCAGAGGCCCAGCATCTAACTACTTGGACCAGATGGAAGAGTACGAGAAGGTGGAGGAGCTCAGCAGGTCCATATAATCCCCCACCCCCTCCCCCACCCCTCCCCCTCTCCCCCCACCCCTCCCCCTTCCTTCCCTCAAATCCTCCCTCCCTCTCTCCCCCTCCCTTCCCTTCCTTCCCTTAACCCTTCTCTCCCCTCCCCCTCCATCCTTCTCCCCTCCCCCTTCTCCCTCCCTCCCCCTTTCTTTCCCTTAACCCCTCCCTCCAGGTCCCTCTCTCTCCCCTTCCCCTCTTCTTCCTTCCCCTTCTCCTTCTCTCCCTCCTCCTCTCTCCCTCTCTCCCTCCATCCCTCCCTCCCTCTCTCTCTTCCCCCTCAGTGCTCTTTAGTATTAAAGAAAGAAGTAATAAATCTGTGATTTTGACAAGACACACTTCTCTGTGCTTGTGTTCAGGAGCCGTAGACCCCACTAGCATTAACTTCTTTTCCTTCTTAGTGGTTTGCTTCTCTAAAATCATAGCTTAAATGCACTTAATACTCAGTCCCCTAATCCTATGTTATGAGCTTGGCTTCTCCATGACTCATGGGAATTTTATGGGTACAGTGTTCAACTTGAATTTTATGATTGTTGTTAGCTTTACGGCACCATGGAAATATTCAGCAGGGTTATTATTAGCAAATCAGTTTTTCTTCATATAAATGGATCTTAGAACTTTCTCCTTAAATGCCTTCTCATAAAGTCTCATTATTGTGAGTAAAAGCAACTTTTAATTATAGTCACTGGAAGATGAGATAATGAGCTAATGACATTTCAAGATAAACCATCCGGGTTCTCACTTTAACTTTCTGAGAAAATGATATCTTGTTATTTTTCCATTGAAAAGATGGTATGAATTTTTAAAAAAAAAAAGAATCCTATTATAGGGTGCCTGTGTTAGCAGCCCTTCCTGATTTTCAAAACCATTGTCCTTTAGAGGAAATGGATACATTCGGGGAACGTACGGTACCGCGTGCCTCTGTCCGCGCCTCCCTCGGCAGGGGGACTGACGGGTTTTCTCTGATTTGTTCAGAAAGCACAAACACAGCTGCTTCTGTGTCCAGGAGGTCGTGAGCGGGCTGCGGCAGCCCGTGGGTGCTGTGCACAGTGGCGATGGGTCCCATCGCCTCTTCATCCTAGAGAAGGAAGGCTATGTGAAGATCCTAACCCCAGAGGGAGACCTGCTCAAGGAGCCTTACTTGGACATTCACAAACTTGTTCAGAGTGGAATAAAGGTTGGATTTTTCTATTTCCTTATTTTGTTCTGCCTGTGTAGGACTTATCTTAAATGCTCTCTTCCTCACTAGAGATTTATTTTTGTAATGAAATAAAGAATATCTGAAAGGGAAAATGAGATAAACCTAAGAAACCAACAAATGTCAGAGGGACAATGACGTTGTTGTTTGATTTACTGGCTGTTGAGAAATGTAAACAGAATGATATTTTGACCTATACAGTGTTCATATTTAGAATAACTTTTGTTTTTAGATCTTAGTAAAGGGCATAACATTTCATATTCACACTTCCGAGTAGAAGCAGAGATATTGCTTTGGAAATTGTAATTGATTACTTTATCATGCCTTTTATTTGTTTGGGTGATGAGAAAAAAATGTTTCTCATACAATGACCTCTTTGTGCAATGCTTTCAAAGGTAAGTCAAACATTTTTATCACTACGTAGTTATCTACAGACCACATAAGCACACCCATCACTTTCCCACTCCTAATTTGAATTCTCCAGTCAAATAACGTGTTCGAGTCCCATGAGTAGAAGACAGTGATGGCAGAAAGAGTCTGTACGGTAGCTGCAGCATTCTGAAACTGAGACACAGGCACCAGCTAATGCAAGAGGAAATCAAATAAGTCATGAGCTCCATAAAGCCCTGGTTCTCCTTTTTACGTTTTAAGTGGAAACAGAACCAAAGGACAGTTTGCATTCTAAAACTCATGTAGTTATGGACCCCGGATTTGTGTCCCAGTTTCATTGGGGAGACCACCAAACTCAGAAGGAACCAGTAAGATAAAAATATACTCCCAATATCTGTTCAGTAAATACTGGGTGAAAAAAAAAAGCTAGAATGAGTCAGTGAGAATGCAGGTATCCTGGGGTCAGGGAGAACACAGGTATTCTGGGTCACTGAGAACACAGGTATTCTGGGTCACTGAGAACACAGGTATTCTGGGTCACTGAGAACACAGGTACTCTGGGGTCACTGAGAACACAGGTATTCTGGGTCACTGAGAACACAGGTACTCTGGGGTCAGGGAGAACACAGGTCATGCTGTACACATTGGAACCATGTAGACTTGGGATATGCTGATGTATCTAAGACATACTTCACAGAAGAAGCAAACCTGGAGTTGGCATGTGGGTCAGTGGGAGTACACTTGCTTAGCATCTGTGAAGTCCGGGGTTCAATCCCCAGTACCATAAAAGTGAAGCAAAACAAAAAACAGAAAATAAATGAAAAAAAATCACTGGACCAGCAAGATGGCTGAGCAGGAAAAAACACTTGCCATGTCTGTGATCTCAGCATAGCCAAGGCAGGAAGATCTTAAGTTCAAGGCCAGTCAGCATTGGACAGTGAAATCCTGTTGTCATTGCTTGTTGTTTTGGACGGTTTTTTTCAGATTTTATTTTTTAATTTCTGATTGTTTTATATGTGTGGGTGCTATGCCCACGTGTATATCTTTGTGTCGCATGCATGCCTGGTGTCTATGGAAGCCAGAAGAAGGCCTGGATTTGCAGATGGCTATGAGCCATCACGTGCGTGCTGGGAATTTAACCTGTATTTTCCAACAAAAGGAAGGGCCAGTGCTCTTAACTGCCGAGCAACCTCTCCAGCTGCCACTGCGTCCTACTTTAAATACATGCATATATATCCATATCCACATCCACATCCATATCCATATGTCACAAAGGGGAGGGGAAGGAGGAGGCTTCTGACAGGAAGCAGCTTGGGCACCAGGACAAATTATTTGGATGAATCTATTGTTTGAACTTTAATGGTTTCAAGTTTCTCCAAAGGAAACATCACTGGATTTCATAGCAGATAACCAAAAGCAAGCATTAATGGGTTTCTATCTTGTGTTCAACAATACCCTCCGAAATGGGTCTTGGTAGCTCTCTGTGGTGTCACCACAGAGCAAAAGTAAAGAGTGACAAAGTGTGCTTGTTCCTCACGGGTGGTGGCTTCCTCCTGTGAGAGTGAAATGTGTGAAGGAAAAACAGAGAAAACGTGTTAAAGCCATCCGCTGTAGTTCCGCTAGCTCAGTTTCCATACACCTCCTTCTGTTTCTTCATACTAAAATTAAATGACCTTTTTCTTAGGAGCAACTTTTAGCTTTTGTCCCAAGCAACTTTTAAGTAACATTAAAAACAAATTGCACGCACATACATCCTCCTCTACTATATGTTGGGGCTTTCCTAAGATTTGTAAAACCTGCTTTGGGGGCTAAAGAGACGGCTCAGTGGTTAAAAGCACTGGCTGCTCTTCTGGAGGATCCAGGTTTTGGTCCCATCAGGGCCGGTTGTCTCACAAACACCTGCAAGTCCATCCTCAGAGGACCTGATGCCCGTTTCTGGTCTCCTTGGGCACCAACATACAGACACACACACACTTTGTAAATCTCATTGCAAACTTTCTTTTAGATGTTCTAGTTCCTTCTTATTCTTCTTTTGGGATGGCTCCATCGTTCTAGTTTTCCCACTATAAGCAAAGTTACGTATCACTCTTATATCTTTTGCCTAACCTGGCTGATGGACTGTTCTCTGAGTATTCACTCATAAAAAGAACGTTTCTGAGTGAGATATATACCATAAATACACTTTAAAAGATACTCTCAAATACTTAAGGTTATGATATATTGCTTTCCAATATTATTTCAGAAAAATTGTTGAACTTAAAAAGATACATGTGATCAAAAGTAGCTGTGAGAAAGAGCTCAGAACCCCGGAAACTTTGCTGTACAAAGTAATAAAAGTGATCATCTCATTTCTACTTCAATTTAACTCTCTGAAGAACAGATGGCTCCCTTTAAAGTCACAAGTACTTTGAAGTCCTTCTATTCAAACTACACGTGTTCACTGGGATACTGAATGAAAGATCCAGTGAGCTATTCTGTTCTGGAAGGGAAACATTTCATAATGCAATAAAATTGCCCAAGGCAGGACATCACAGTCTAGGGGTCTGCAGTATGTTTGCACTAGAAGTCTCCAGGAATTTTGTGGAGCACAAAGAAATCCTGTTGAATTTGGCATCTGGGTTTCCAGAGGAGTCCCAGAGCTTCTAGAGCTGTTATATAAACTTCAGAATCCATTATCCCAGTGAGCAGATAGGGGGTACTTAAAGAGCAGCCTCTTAATTCTCCTGGGCTCTGACACTAACGATACCACCTAGCTAGGAATCTGTCCCTTAGATATTTGAGTGTTTAGTGAGGACAGAGAGCCCATCCTGATATCCGCGCTGCTTCACCTGCACCTCAGCCTCTAGGGAGCACTTTAACTGCAAGGGTTAAAAGGAGGCTACAGCCAGGATGATGGAGTGGAGTCCACCACGTTCATGAATGGATTGTGAATTGTACCACTTCTTGTGACGGTTTGTCTCTCGGAAACTTAGGAAACAAAGACATTTCACAGCTATTTCCCAGTCCTCTTTAATAACAGGAGTATGTAACAAGTTTCTGTGTGAGTTTTGTGTTTGTCTGCAACTATTTTACATAAATGATACAAATAAGACTTTTAACAAGTCATTTTACATGCCATTTCCTTCCTGTTCTTTCAATTTTAAGAGCCTAAGTGATAGCGTAAAGTCATTTAACTATAACACTCAGATCGCATAATTAATAAAACATTCTGACCCAGCCTCCACATGCCCAATTAAATGAATATTATAGAAACTTCAGTGGAGAACTCAACCACATGACATCAGTTAATGACCTGTGGGAGTAAATCAAATCAGACATAAAGAAGAATCCCTGATTATAAGACTTTCTGAGAGCTAGCTAGTGCTGACTACAAGAATTCTGGAATGTTCTCTCTTTTAATTATCAATTTAGAATGGATCCTGATTCCTAGCCCTTAATAAAAGCAAGTTGAACTCAGCTGAACTCTACCAGTCCCTGTAACTATTTGTATTCAATATCTGAGACACTGAGGCACACTCTTCTCTACTTGGGTTCTGGTGTGTGTGTTGGGGGGGTTGACATATGTGTTCATGTATGCATATTCAGAGGCTAGAGGTGAACATTAGTTATCTTCCTTCATTACTTTCCACATTGTTTTTTGAGACAAGATCTCTCGATGAGCACAGTGATTACTGATTGGCTAGACTTGCTGGCCAATGAGCTCCAGGGATCCACCTGTCTCTGCTAACACAGTTCTAAGATTACAGAGGCGTGTCACCGTGCCTGGATTTTATGTGCTTGTGAGGTAGGCACTCTGCTGGCAGCAAGAGTGTGTTGCCTGAAATTTAAGAGATCATAGTATCCCGAGGAGTTAACTGTGTCCAGTTCACATGACAACAGCGATCTGTGAATACGCAAAGCCCAAACTAAAGAATAGAGTTTCCTGTAGGAAATAATCCTGCAAGCTACAGTTAAGGAGTCGGCATGAAATACAACCTGTAAGTCCATCACTAGTACTGACACTGAAGAGCTAAGGAGCAGACAGTCTCTCTTGTCTGCTGAGACGCTAAGGAGGTAAGGCGTGGCGGTGGTTTGCTCCTTCTCTCTGATCTCTCAGCATTTCCTTCTATATCTGACTCCGGGTTTTTATTCACTCAGACCAATTAAGAACTCCATTTATACTCCGCATTGTCTGACCTTGAGCCCATGTGTTGTTACTGTTGGTCCTGTCGACGAGGGGCGCACAATTATGCTCTCTGTCTCCAGGTCTTTCGATGCCTGGCCTGCGGAGTGTTTGAGTTGACTTCTCTCTGGGTTGAACCCGAGTCTCTGGGGTCCAAGAAGCAGCTTCCCCTGTCTGAACTCCCCTGAGACAACAGACTAGTAGTTCTCAAGAATGAACGCTTGCTTGTCATACTGACACAAGAGCTTTCAAAGTTCCAGCCCCAAATCAGAGCGGGTAGGGTGAGGCTCAGGCAGAATGCTTTCCCACGTCTTTTTAATGGCTGGTGACTTTCACAAAGGATGAGACCCAGGTGCTGGGGCCCCCAGGATCACTGGCAGACACCAGCAGTCTCCCCCTCTTTTGTTATTTCCTCGCACTGTGCAAA